TTCCAAAGTTTGGTATTGACGGTTGAGTGAAATTGCCCGACACAAAGGGTAGTAGTTCCTTCTGCAATTTTCGATTTCTGTTTTAGAGCTTCTTTTTTGTCTTTATATTTAACTTCTTGGAGGGTCTTTTCTACCATTTGTTCCGGGTAGCCTCTCGAGATCAGGCGTGTATTGAAATTTTCAATATTCTCTTCAATGTATTTCACAATCACGCAGGCAAGAGGGAGTTTATCGGTAAATTTTATCATTTATTTCACGGTTATTCAAACAAAAACTTACATTTTCCATGTATCAACATTGCGAAAATCCATTTGCGATAAAACAACGGCGAAAACGCGTTGATCTCTCTCCAAAACCATGTTTTTGGGCGTCGAAACAACATTGCGCCATACATTTCCTTCTAGCGACTTGCAATGTTTGCCCCCTGACGATCCCAGAGTTCTTTGCGCAAACATGGGTATCTGATTACTGGCAACTCATTCATTGGTGGCGGTTTTTAGTAATAACATCCTGCAAAACCGCGTTAGAGATGCAGATCAATTATTACCATCCTCTCACGTTTGGAATGACCGTCCCTCTTTTCACAGAAACATTTTATAGGGTGAAAGGTACTTTTTTCAACAAAATTCGACTTTTGATCATTTATATCTTCCATAAACGAAATCAAGGGAGATCATTCCAAACGTAGCAAGGTAGATAATTTAAATTTGCATCGCAAACACTCATTTATTGACCAATAGCATGAAAATTCGCCACCAATTCGCCGATTTACCAAATTTTAACAAAATGATCAAATGACATGTCGCGTGAGTTTTTTAATCAGGGAAAAGTTCAGCTTGGTAAAACAAATATAACAAGAGATATAGTTGCCCAACCATACTTCTACTTTACAGTCCTGACCCAGGCCTTAAACTGCCTGAGTTGCTATTTACAGTCATCATTGTTTGTCATTTGTATACTAACCGTGAGGAACACCGACTTGCTGATGACTGCCAATCCCCCCACAGACAATCCGATGGGATCTCCCCGCAGGTGGGCAAGGAAGAGCATCAACTACACAAATAAAAACCATTACGATGCAATTAACATTATAATCTATTTCACAGCACTGGTTGGTAAACTGGGTCATAGAATATTTTAATTATTAATTGATCAACTGATTCGAAGCGAGAGACAGTGATTTGGCCTCTAATCCTGAACCCGCCTTCATATGTGGGGTGGGTTTGGTATTGGTTCCAGTCCTTGCTCCCAAGCTTTTTATATACTACAATTTTCTTTAAATGAGTTGGCCTGCGAGGATTGGTAAGATGGACTCATCAAGAATCTTCGAGAGGCTAACAATGTTATCGGGCACTCTATTGGAAAAAAAAATTGATGCACCTTTTTTCTTTATTTCCTTTTTGCTTTCGCAAAGTTATATATACAATGTTTAGAAATTACTGTTGCATTTGCCCCATATTGTTAACGCTATTATTTTGGTCATTGTTTGTAAGGGTATGTGTTCGGCTCGATCCCTGATGATCATTAAAACACCCTTTTCGTTTCCAGCACGTACCTCAGTGTTTTCTTTTATGTCTTCGACAGAAACCTTAGATTTCTGTAAGGTCTCATAGAAACTGTGAGCCTGCATGTAAAAAGTTTGGGAAAATAAGCCGACTTTAAAATATAATGCAACATAATTTTGGTGTCTTACAACACTTAAAAACTTACTGTTGCCATAGTTAATAGAGGGGACTGGTTATAAATTACGAAGCAAGGCAAACATCAAAGGAGTAAACAAAGATGCCAAGATTTATGTTGGAAGGTCCACGACCGTGCACAGTCTTTTGTTTTGTGCTCATACACTATGCATAAATTACGTAACCAACACGTTTCTATTGGTTAGTTCCTCAGTACGGAGTAAGCAGCTGTTGTGTTTTGTGCACGGTCAAGGCTAAAAAGGGAACAAAAACATAGTATGCTGTTGCCTTATAACACGAAAAAGGAACGTTGCGTGTACACCTGGACTGAAGTGATTTATGAGCAGATAGTCCGAGATCCAAGGAAGTTCAATCTACATTACTATGACAACGTGATAAGGGGCAAAAAATACTCTATTTTTAACGAGTGATAGCTCATACACCAAAGGCGGGAGTGAATGGAGTCATCAGACAAATTAGTGGTCGATCGGTTGGTCGTCCGTCAACTCCCGCTGTTAATATAGTCTGTCAGCGGGTGATTAACGTGATAGCATAATTAGAGAGAGCTATAGGAGTGACCAGATAATGCAAACGAGCAGGCGGTCGGTCGTTCTTGTGGGCGGAATGATTACTATAAAATTTATGCTGTTTCACGCAACATACAACTCCTCAAAAGCTTTTTGACAACCCTTGTCAAATGTATGATATGAACATGTCCGTTTCAAGACCTGATTAATTGATAAGGCTGAAATAGGTTATAATACAAACTAGAGCTGGGTGCGTCGGTTTCACAGCAACAGCAACAACAAAACATAAACATTTACTATAATACCCAGAGCTGTACCGAGTTCCATTTTCATCGTACACACTTTCTGAGTAAAAATTTGCGGTGCTGTACACATTTTCGTTTTCGTGCCGAACGTGTTGACTTTACTCAGGGTTAAATGGCATATTTACTTTTGATCTCGTTTTCTTGATAATCATGATTTATATACAAACGATTACTTTCTTTAAAATTTGCATTGCATCAAATTTGTCCACGCTGAACCCAATAAAAAAAATAAATAACAACAACAACAATAATAATAATAATAATAATAATAATAATAATAAGGAAATGGCACTTAAAAAGGGAAGCAGTATAAAGGAAATTCATTAGTGTTCTGCTCCGCAAGATATTAAATAGAAATTTCTAAAAAGGAAACAGTATAAATGTAAAATAAATGGATGCAATTTCATATAAATCTGCTGGAAATCACTTTGAGGCTTTTAATCGCCCCATAGATATGCCGACGCAAATCAAAATGAATAAATTATATTAAAGACAAATCATTATACTTCTGATGGCTGTGGCTTACAGAAAAAGGTATTTTATATCAAAGTTTTTTTTTAGTTTTGCTTTTTAATGATTATCTATGGCATAATACACTTAATTTACGGACGTATAGCTTAAAGAAAAAAAAAACATTTATGTACTAGCTTTTAAAACATTTGGAAATTTCTGGTACAGTGCAAAGCCAAAAAAGACCACTAAAAAATGCCGATTAAAAGTACAACTTCGACAAACTTTGAATCCTAGATGGCACAAATCCGCAATATAATTAAAGTAGATAAAATATCTCTTTACCTTCTCGTTAACGCGGCTTCCAAACATGAAAACAACCCCTAGCAAAGTCGCTATACACAAACTCCAGTAGAGGTAGCTGATAATAACGATGGTGTCTTTTTGGCTGCTTGCCGACTCGATGAGTTGATGGAAG